CGGAACTCCACCACTGACGGAGAAGACGACGACACCAGTCGCCGGCCAAAACTCCGACCTAGAGAGGCTCCATCCCCCATCCAGAGACCTCGCCGAACCTCGGACCACCTTCGAAAGCCGACCATCTACAGCAGAACAGGCGCGCGCAACGTCATAGGAGGGCCGGCCGGTTAAAGACGACCCCTAGCCGTGCTTCTCCGTCACCGAGGAAGGCGATTCAACCGGAAATTTGAGGGCTGCGGGAGATTTGGGGGTAGGGTTTTTTCCGTCGGGCAAGAGAGCTGTTTTTATTTTCCGTCGGGCAATATGGATACACAATCTTTAGATACTGAAATTTTCATAAGAAAAAAGAAAAAAATAAAGATGTGAGTACAAAAAGTTTTGAAAATTAGTTTTTGTACGTTTAGCAAGTGCACGAGATTTATGTTTAATAAATATGACGATCATTGAGAAGCGGCATAAAAAAGTTCTAAAAGGTTCTTAGCGAAAATAAAGGATTCTTTGCACCCAGATTTGTGCTTCGAATGGACTACTCCATCTAATGTTGCATCTTTTATTACTATTTATAGTACATATTTGATATTTTTTTGCGGAAATTGCTTTCTAAATGTGGTAAATAGTTAATCTCTTTATATATAGATATAGATTAGATTTGGGTATAAAAGATGGCTAGTACAACACCCGTGTATTACACGGGTGTTTGTGAACAAACTATTTTTAAATTTTAAAATTAATGAGAAAACTATATTAAATTTAGTTTACTTTTTTACAAAAAAAAAAAAATATATTACTATATATTTTAGAATGATATGTGTTACTTATGACTTGCATGTGTTATATTATATTAATTTTTATAACTTATACTCCCTCCTATTTTTTTTAAATGTCATTCTAGCTTTTTCTACTATTTGCCAAATAAATGTCGTTTTGGATATTTTGTACATATTTTTCCATTATTACCCTCATTTAGCCAATAAATACATTACGTCTTTTCATATTCACTTTTTACTTTTTCTCAAAACATTCATCTATATCTTCATTAAATAAGGTTATTATTGACAAAAAAAATATTCTTAATTAGTGTGCAATTCTCAAAACGACATATATTAAAAATAGGAGGTAGTATCATATAACTACTTGAAATATAAATATATTAATTGATAAATAATTTTATTTTTCTAATTAATATTAAAAATAATTTTGTTATTGTTATAAAGATAAATATGAATTATTTTTTTTATACATACAATAGGGATGTTAAATCGAAACTCATCAAAAGAAGATTAATTTGATATATTACATATGTAAAACTTAATGCAAGTGTAAGCGTCCGGGTCCGGTTTGGAGTAGATCGGTTCTTGTCCTTGCCGGTAGAACGCCGAGAACCTGCAAATAACTCTCACACCGGGGGTTGGGTCCGGTGAAGAGCCTCCGATGCTTAAGTCAGTATGTGTATGAGTATACTGGAATTTAGAGAATGAATAGAATGTGTTAAGGAAGAAATGCTCATCCCCTTTTTATAGGGGTGAGATACCTGCCCTAATAGCTGCCCGGATAAGGATACGTGTGCTGCCCAAGCTGCCCGTCCGTACTCTGACACGCCGCGCACATGTCAGAGGTGCCGCGGGACGTTTGGGCGTTGTCAGAGGTGGTTATCGCTATCACCCAATACATTGTCGACACGTGTCCACCCAGCACATGGGGTAAATATTCTCCTGCAGCTCAGTCAGAGACCCCCACGCGCGTCTGCCATACACGCGTCTGGGCCTATGTTGATCAGCTTGCTCGATCACTCAGCTTGCTCGATCACTCGATCACTGGTCTGCTCGATTAGCGGGTAGCTCGACCAGTCTGATCGAGCATCAGGCTGCTCGATCACCTGTGCAGTCAAGCCTCGGGTTGTTCGATCACTTGTGTGGTCGAGCCTTAGGCCGCTCGATCACGTGGACTCCCGCCTTTCGGCTTGGTTCGCTTCCGGTTTGTCCTTCTCGACCGGCTCACCAAATCGGCTCGTCTTTATACAGATAATATCCTATATCAAAACTGATAAAAAATACAAAAATTATTAACTTTTAAAATATATACAATTCAATAGTTATAATAAGGAATGATATTAAAATGCAATTAATACATGTAACATGACCATAAATAATCAACATATTTATGGTAATCCGAACCTAATTATTTTTGGTTTGGAATTAAATTAAAATTTACTCAAACCTAATAACGAAGCATATAATTTTGTCACATAAGATTCCGAAGCATCAGAAACAGCCACGTAGGCTCAGCGTGTTCTGAATTAATATATAGGAGGGTTAAATATAGGAGGGTTAATATAGGAGAGTTAATATATAGGAGGGATATTAATTATAGATGCATCGTTGTTTTTCTCTTTTGTTTCTTTTATTTTTATTTTTATTATTCAGAAAT